CTGCTCAGCAGGGAGTCTGCTTCTCCCTCTGACCCTCTTCCCTCTCGTGCTCTCTATCTCTCATCCTCTCTCTCTCAAATAAATAAATAAAATCTTTTAAAAAAATGTAAAAACAATTTCTCACTTTTCCCTAGTGGTCTCTTAGGGGCTGGGGAAGCAGAAGTCAGTGTCATGCCAGAATGCTCTTGTCTTGAAAGATGTGCAAGACTCTACCGTAGAGCTGGACATTTTAACCAAACCCTGCCAAGGCATTTGGTGTTTGTGGTTTTTTCTGCCCAGTGTAAAGCCCTGCATGGAGCCCTGTCTACTTGCCTATTTTTGCAGGTGCTTCTCTCCAGGTAGACAACCAGACTGTCATTCTAGTGTCAGAATTCCGTGTTCTTTTTCTGTCATGCCTTGTGTTTATAGAAATATGATGTGTGTGGGGCGCCTCATGTGTTAAGTGATAGAATGACGTTTGGGTGTATTTTACAGTGGAACAGTTGACAGTAGTTCTCTTCACATATGTGTAGTTCCTCTGATTTGAACGCCCCCTAACATTTTGTTGTTTTCTAGACATTTTCTTGGGAAACGATATATGTATATATAGGAAGGATTGTTGGATAATTCTACTAAAACAGTGGTTCTCTGTAGTGATTTTTCCCCCACCCCTTTTAGGTGACACTTGGCAATGTTTGGATACATTTTTAGTTGCTAAAATTGAGAGGGGTGCTACTAGCATACTGGATGCTGCTAAACATTCTGCAGTGCACAGGACAGACCGACAACAAGAGTTAATTGATTTTAAAATGTCCATAGTACAGGGGCGCCTGGGTGGCTCAGATGGTTAAGCATCTGCCTTCGGCTCGGGTCATGATCCTGGGGTCCTGGGATCGAGCCCCGCGTCGGGCTCCTGGCTCGGTGGGGAGCCTGCTTCTGCCTCTCCCTCTGTCTCTCTCCCTGCTCATGCTCTCTCTCTCTATCTCTGTGTCTCGGGTGAATAAATAAAATCTTTAAAAAAATAAATAAATAGAATAAAATGTCCATAGTACAGAGTTTGAGGAACACTTAAAACTGAGATTATGGGATGGCGCCTGGGTGGCTCAGTTGTTGAGCGTCTGCCTTCGGCTCAGGTCATGATCCCAGGGTCCTGGGATCGAGCCCCGCATCGGGCTCCCTGCTCAGCGGGAAGCCTGCTTCTCCTTCTCCCACTCCCCCTGCTTGTGTTCCCTCTCTCGCTGTGTCTCTCTCTGTCAAATAAATAAATCTTAAAAAAAACAAACAGATCATGGGGCACCTGGGTGGCTTAGTAGGTTAAATGTCTGCCTTCGGCTCAGGTCATGATCCCAGGGTCCTGGGATGGAGTCCCGTGTCAGGATCCCTGCTCTGCAGCGGAGTGTCTGCTGCTCCCTCTGCCCCTCTGCCCTGTTCATGCTCTCTCTCAAATAAATAAATATAATCTTAAAAAACAAAACAAAAAGATCGTAAGTTGTGATATTCTTGGTTCTCCATCCCCCTCCCTCCGATTATAACAGAAGTGTTCTTTTTTTCTTCTTTTCAGATTTTATTTAGTTATATGAGAGAGGGAGCACAGGCAGAGGGAGAAGCAGACTCCCCACTGGCCAGGGAAACCAGTGCAGGGCTCCATCCCAGGACCCTGAGATCATGACCTGAGCTGAAGGCAGACGCTTAACTGACTGAGCCACCCAGGCGCCCCAAGGAATTGCTCTTTTTAGTGACTTGATAAAGTCACTTGTTAGGGTTTTACTTTTTTGTGGCAGGCAGGGCCCTCACAGGCAAGCCACCACAGGTGGGTGAGGGCTACCCCGAGTGGGTGCTCAGTCCCCTGGTTCCTGACCATTCTGATCATGGTCCTTCCGTCCCCTCTCCCTGCTGCCCCAGGACTACATCGCGGTGAAGGAGAAGTATGCCAAGTACCTGCCTCACAGTGCAGGGCGCTATGCGGCCAAGCGCTTCCGTAAGGCACAGTGCCCCATTGTAGAGCGTCTCACCAACTCGATGATGATGCATGGCCGTAACAATGGCAAGAAACTCATGACCGTGCGCATTGTCAAGCATGCCTTCGAGATCATCCATCTGCTCACCGGTGAGGTAAGACTGTGAGACCTGATGAGGCTGAATGCCCTTAGTACACCCTAAAGCCAGCAGCTGCCCCGTGGCGTGCATGCCAGGGTCCACCAGGTTTTAGGGGTGAGGAGATGGGGGAGGGATGTGGACTGGATATCAGGTTCATGGCTGCCTTCTCCTAGAACCCCCTGCAGGTCCTGGTGAATGCAATTATTAACAGCGGTCCCCGGGAGGACTCAACCCGCATTGGGCGAGCCGGAACAGTGAGGCGTCAGGCTGTCGACGTGTCCCCCCTGCGCCGTGTGAATCAGGTGGGCTTGGGGCAGAAATTGGCAGTGGGAAGGTTTGAGTCCTGCCTGTGTGTTTTACCTGGAGCGTCCTTTCCTCCAGGAAGCCTTCCTGCATTTCCATCACATTCAGGGCGGATACTAGTTCTGGCCCCCCTCTTGAGCAACATTTGCCTGAGGCACAGTTTCATTTGAGTGTATATTTTTACATACTGTGTGTGGGTGTGTATTTTTTTTTCCATAGACCATTTGAGAATCAGTTGCAGGCTTTCTAATCATTTCCCCCTTAACATTTTAGTGGGTGTCTCCTAAGAACAAGGATACTCTGTCCCCACCATCACTCTCAAGGAATTTAACAGAGATAGAACTGTTTCATGTTCCGTCACTGCAGCTGTCCGTTTTCAATCAAGGGTCCCGGTCAGGAGCACACACGGCATTGGATTTCACCTGGTGCTGCCTGTGGGCTCCTCCTGTGTCTTGTCTCAGTCTCACTGGGCCAGTGGATGGCAGTATGGTAGCCAGCATTTGTTGGTGGGCCTAGGGTACTGGAGGACGATGGCCTCTCTGGTTTGGGGGCATCCTCTGCCCCCAGGCTTAGCTGACCCTTGTGCTCCCTAGGCCATCTGGTTGCTGTGCACAGGTGCACGTGAGGCCGCCTTCCGGAACATCAAGACCATTGCTGAGTGCCTAGCAGATGAGCTCATCAATGCAGCCAAGGTGAGTGAGGACACGGGGGTGGCGGCCAATTCAAGGGGAAGCTGCTCCAATATTCAGAACTAACCATCTATCTCCTTGCAGGGCTCTTCCAATTCCTATGCTATCAAGAAGAAGGACGAGCTGGAACGTGTGGCCAAGTCCAACCGTTGATCACCTCGCTGTGGCTTCAATAAACCTGTCTGCCTTCCGGGCAGCCTCACCCACCTGTGCCAGTGCCTGTCGGGGGGGGGGGGGCGCTGGAGTGGGGATGGCCCCAGTGTCCTGTGGAGCTGCCCACATTCATGACCTGTCTTGGTGTGTGGGGACCCAGGTTCACCAGGGAAATAACTCTGCTCAGGAAGCACCACTGACTCAGAACCATGGCACCCTGGGGTGCAGGCCTGGCCACCTGGAGTGTTCCAGCGTGTTGGACATGAGAGGGGTGGGGTTGTCCTGGCATAGATGTCACTCTGGTCTGGGGAAGGACTTGGTGTTTATCCGTGAGATCTGGGTGGCATCCCTCCATCCTGAGAGGCATGTTAGCATGTTACCTGCAAGCAGCCCCAGGGAGAGGTATCCCAGGCTAGTGGTCTGGGCCACCCTTTCCAGCCCCCTGTCTGCTGGTTTGGCAGGGGCCAGCCCTGTCCAGTGCTCTGTGGAGTCTGCCCACCTTCCACTCGAGGACACCAGAGGTTCCTCTTTGTTCTGGCCAGGTTCCCCCAGGGGCTCCAGGCTGCCTCTGTACTTTTTTTTTTTTTTTTTAAGATTTTTTATTTATTTGACAGCAAGAGAGGGAACACAAGCAGGGGGAGTGGGAGAGGGAGAAGCAGGCTTCCCGTGGAGCAGGGAGCCCGATGTGGGGCTCGATCCCAGGACCCTGGGATCATGACCTGAGCCAAAGGCAGACACTTAACGACTGAGCCACCTAGGCGCCCCTTCCTCTATATTTTGTGTAGTCATGACTGCAGCCTACCCCTGGGTGCCCACAGAGCCACTGCCACACCAGGTTCTTGAAAGTGGAATCATGAGGTGATGAAAGACTTGGGTGGGGGGTTTTTGCCCACCCACTGGTCCAGACTGTCAACGGCCTGTCCACCTGTGCCATCCATTACCTTCCTGCCGCCCCCAACATCCGGCCAAGGTCAGGCTTGGTGTTCATCCTGGAGGGACCTGTCTTGGGGGCGGGCCAGGCAGTCAGACAAGTCTGACAGGTACCTTGGGAAGCTGCGATCTGAGGGAGTGGTACCAAGACAGCACCCTCCTGCCGGGAGGGGCACCTAGAAGGCGGCTGGTGGTAGGCAGAGGACGGGTCAGAACTGGCAGGGACGTGCCAGCCAGAGGGAGGAGGCACCGACAGGTAGGGAGAGCCCAAAGGCCCGCTGGGGTCTGTCACGGTGGGGAACCTCTGGCACTTGTTCTGGGCTTCCGTCACTGCTCTGCTGCTGGGCTCCAGCCCTGAGGCTTGGGTGCCCGCTCCCTCACCTGCCCCTCGAGTCTTGAATGGACCCCCTAGGGTCGAACTAGTTCTCTTAGAGGCCCCTATCTTTTGCTCCTCTCCAGGTTGGCTCCTCCCCATGGCTTGTCTGGGGTCCTTCCAGGTGGCGGGGCCTCAGCTCCCCTCTGCCCCTCCCCTGCCCGGCTAGCTTGGGCCCTATGGTGGCCCCCGGGTCTGTCCCTGGCCCCAATCTGCGCTCGCACCTATTCCCCGCCCCTCCTCGAGTCCGGATGCTTCCTCGACGTCCTACCCGGACACCCTGTTTCTCCGCTTCTACCCCGCGAGTCGCTTACTGTGCTATCCTGTCTGCTCCTTGGCTCGACGCCGCCTGCTTTGGATGCCGCTGCTCTGTTGGGCCCTCCCCTCCAGAGTCCAGTCCCTGACCCTCCGCAGACCCCCTTCCACCGCCGGCTTCCCCGGCTGACGGCCCGCCTCCCCCCGCAGGTCCGGTCCGGATGCCCTGCCCTCGGCCTCCCTGGCTTCGCCGCCTCCGGGCCCCTCAGGGCTCGCTCTCCGCGGCCCGCTCCCCCGGCGGGGAGGAGGGCGAAGTCGACGGCGGCCGGGAGGAAGAGGAAGGGGACGGCAGCCCGGGCTCCGGCCCCATCCTGACCCCCGCGTCCCCCGGGGACTGTCTCATCTGTGTGTCACCCTTCGACGGCGTTTTCAAGCTGCCCAAGCGCCTGGACTGCGGCCACGTCTTCTGCCTCGAGTGCCTGGCTCGCCTGTCCCTGGCCACGGCGGGTGGCGGCGACGCGGTGGCCTGCCCCGTGTGCCGCGCGCCCACGCGCCTGGCCCCGCGCGGAGGGCTGCCCGCGCTGCCCACGCAGCCCGGCCTGCTGCCCCGCGCCGCGCGCCCGCCGCTGCGGCGCCAGGGCTCGGTGCGCTTCGACCGCCGCCGCGGCCTGCTCTACCTGCGGCCGCCGCCGCCGCCGCCCGGACCGCGCA